TTAGCGTGGTATCAGAGCAATTACTTTTTTAAAGGGGGAAACCGCAACAGGAATTACTTGGGGCTAATTTCACCTTCAAACCGGATGAGGGATTCCAAGTGGTTTGTGCGTCGAGATTGCTAGGAGAGTGTTCATGTGGATGAGAGCTTAAGCTCCTACGGAGACTATTTTGGGCAAAATAGGGTGATGGATGCAAAGGAATTCCTGCTGCTTCTACCATGCGACAGTGAGCATGTTTTGACAATCGAACGCAAATCCTATACGGGGGGGGGGGGGGGGGNTCACCTGGGTACAAAATGACTGCATCGGTAAATGATCTAACCTTCGATCGCCTGACAATGCCAATGGTAGACAGAGACAGAAGTCACCCAGTTACCTTTGTATCTCAAACACCACTGGCTGGAATGTGAGTGAAACACTAACAGCACCGGATATTGTATTGTGTCTGATAGCTAATCCCCTTAATCAGCAAGGTTTTGTATACACGTTCCTTTCTTATTCAAGATATCCTTACTGGTTTGCATCATTTTGCTGATTAAGCAATTTGGATGAATGAAAAAACCAATGGAATCAGTATGAACTCCGTATCAGATTTGAAGGTTAAATTAGCTCCTAGTAATATGATGCGAATTCTCCCCGCGCAAAAGCACTATATATTTCATAATGAGTAGTATATGATTGATGAGACAAAATTTCCCTGGAAGCACAGTGACAAAAGATTACCGGATACGCATGCCTGAAAAACGGCAAGTTTTCAATTTTAGTTTGAACAACCATTAACCACGTATATTCGTGCACCGGTTTTGGTTGCCCATTTGGATGAAGAATAGGAGAAAGGAAACTTGAAAGTGGAATCGAAAAGAAAATGGAGAAGTTCAGTGATCTAAGGTTGCAAAGAGATTACAAAGATTCACGAACGCCACTGGTTGTGACACCCAGCCATATCACTTAGTGTCTCTAGCCATTGGTTACGATCATCCCGAAGCCCAGAGCCAGGGAGCCTAACAGGACCTATATGACCTAGTCTCTTGGTTAGGGTTTTCAGACCCTCGTGCCGGGTCTTAGCTTGACCACCATTGGCTTTTTTCCACTCGGTGTCTGCTTCGGCGTGGTAACCTACCTGGTGACATGCGTAACACATGTCCCAAACAACGTAATCTATAAAGTTCGACCACTTGCTCCAGTGGGCTACCGTATTTACTCAAAACTCTGCCACTAACATCAACATTGCTCATCCCGCTACCCCACCAGATTTGTGCAATGCTGCGTAGACAGCGGTGTACAAACACAGACAGTTTGTCTTTATCCTGCTTTCTTAAAGGCCAAGTTCCTGCACCGTATAGCAGGACTGGCCGAACTGTCGCGGCATACACTCAACCCTTCACAGACAGCCGGATGTCGCGACAGTGCCACAGATGTCTCAAGTAAGCAAA